AGTGGCGATGATGTTTACACGCCGGACCAGGTACTCGATTTAAGCCGAGTCGACCTCGGGGAGGCCCAGGACCGGTTCAGATCAATATCACTGATGTTGGCCGTGAGCGGGAGTTGAACTCGGGTCGCCGAATTCATAGCGCACGCACACCACGTTCACCAGTGCCCAGCTGCCTTCGTCTTCTCAGTGCCGCCGCCGATGATGTTCTCAGGCTGAGCTGACCTAGAGGATACGCGTTATGAGTTGCCAGTGATGTTCATCGTCATCAGGAACTGAAGCGCGATCTCTCTACCCCCGGGGGTTAAGGCACACTGACCTGTATATGTCTTTTTCAGAAGCGACCTGGCAATAAATTGATAGCCAATATGAGAACTGGCTTATGACGCGGATATTTATAGCAGCCAAATACTCTGAACGCACGTTGATTCCGAATGTGGAGGGGAAAAAAAACGGAGGACCCGGAGAAAAATCCACGTGACCACGGGGAGCGAGAGAGACAAGCAAACTCCAAATATACAGGCGTCAGGGTCGGTATCGAACACACGACCTCCCGTATACCAGGCGGAGGCAGTTAACATCCCGCCACCGTGGTGCCCCCATTATAATAGGAAGCTGCTTAGAAAGAGGCGGCGCCTATCAGGTGCGAACTCGAGTCAGTAAGCGAGTAAGCAAGCCAGGTACACGATGTGCAGACACGGACACCGATACAGACACACGTACATACCAATACCTGCCGTTCGCCACGAAGTGACAGTGACGTCACTACGGCGCCTGTGCCCGGCCAGGTGCACTTTGAGGCCACGTGAAATGTCAAAGGCTCGCTGACAGGAGGAGGTCTCGGGACAGACTCAGCAAGTGCCATGTGTTGGCTGACTGAGATGACCGGTAGACGCACACCAGCTGTACCCCCTACTGTGCCAACGTACACATGCGCTTGCCGGCCGTATCCAGAGCGGCGCCTGCCGCTTGCCACGACTGCCCCGTGGCGAGTGCGGTCGGGCACGAACCTAGCCATGTTTGACGTGCTCGGGAAATATCCGTTCGCCGGCAGCTGCCTCGCGCGTCACAGCTGCCTGCGCGGTGGTAGAGATTCGCGGATGCGGTGCGTGCCGGCGAAGGTGGGGGGGGTGAGGTGTATCTGGGGTGGGGTTTGGGGAGCTTGCTTGCGACGTCGTGGAAAAAAACCACCCACGGTGCCAAGCACGTCCCAACAGAGTGTACGTGCGTGTGTGTGTGCGTGTGGTATTAGTGGGGAGCGTTAGCGTAGCGCTTTGCGCGCTGCAGTACGAACCCGGCAGCGACCCGAGTTCGATTCCCGCTCACGGCCAACACCAGTGACAATTATCTGAACAGGTCATGGACCTCCCCAAAGTCGACTCAGCCTCAAATGAGTACCTGGTGTGGTGTGTAAATATCGCCACTGGGGAGACAAAGGCGGCTGGACGTGGTGCTGGCCACCCACCCCCTCGTGTGCTGTGTCAGCCTTCAGAGGCGCTCGCTAACAACACTTGACCCAACAGTCTCTTCAGGCTATACGGGGGGGATCTTTGCCACGGGGAAGTGGGCACCGGGAGTGTAAGTGGTGAGCACCGCACTGCCCCATGAACCCGGTGACCCAAGTTTAATTCCCGCTTACAGACAATGACAGCGGCGAATATATTTGAACCGCTCCTGGGCCTTCCCCGAACTCGGTAACCCCCTCCCCCCAACTCTATCGTCTACGTCCACGACCGTCATCATCCATGCTCAGTCCACTGCTTCTTGGAGGCCCACCCCGAGCTATCACCATCTCACACGACGCCGTCTTTTCGTCAATGAATCGCTTGCGCATAGCACGTTGACACCCGTTGCTACTCCAAACTTGTGTGCGGTTTGCATCTTGTCCGAAATGAAGCCTCGAAAACAAACCACACACTTTAAAATCAACAAGTCACCCTTCTGTCTACATGCAGGTCACCGGTTTTATCTCTGCCCGTTAATGGATTACATTCGGAATAAGCTCTCCTGCACGCACAGCTGGCGAGCCGCATTACTCCCACAGAGGGGCTTGGCGCGGCGGGGGGGACTACTTTTTGTAAGGAAGAGCACGTATTTCCTTTCCCTGGAGACGCGACGGGATGTGGCGCGGGCGTCGGAATTTTGACTGGGATATGCAATTAGCGAGCCCGGTTTATAGAAGAGGGGGCGGGGGTGGGGTGTTCCTTCTCCGATTGCGATAACGACTGGCCGGCATTTCTGTTTTGTCAAAATGAGTGCAGGTCTGCGACGCGTGCGTCGTGCATTTTTTATGGAGAGGCATAGTAGCGCCGTTGTTTTAAAGACATTGTTACTCGCCGCAGCGAACTAGCGACACGACCGCACTCTAAGATAGCCGGCGCCAAACTATGCCACGTGCCCTCCCGCCATGGGCTTGTTGGAGCCTCGGTACGTCTTCTGACCTGAAGATAAGTTATTTTATTTTAGTTTTTTCTTCCGATTCCGTTCCAAACGATGACATGCACGTACGTCATCGGAACGGGAAACGGTTAACAATGAGTGTGCATTATACATGTGAGCGGAAACCGGAGCACCTGGAGAAAACCTACGTGTGTGCGAGGGGGCAACACTCTATCACCGTACAGATGAAAAGAGATGGCGATTAGTCCACTTGCTATACTGCCTTCTGATGGCTAGGGTATGGCACCTGGACGACCGTAGGTAGAGTTTCACGACGTTTTCGATCCACCAACCCTTGCCTCCGCAGTGCCATAAATAGTTTTTCACACTCTCTTGTATCTCCAAGTATTCGGCAACCCCTTGGTCAATTTGACCAGGTCGCACCTCCCGCTCGACGCCCACGGGAAGGGAGTATCACAACATTCGTGCGGCGATCCACCAATCCTCGCTGCTGGATTACGGGCATGCGTCACCGCTTAAAACTATAACCTTACATTTATTTTTATTTACCGGGTAAGGCTCCCACTGAGCTGTGTAACTCTTATTCAGAAGCGACCTGACTATTACAAAATTAGAGCTCAATGAAGTGGCTTATGTGGCACTGTTATACTGGAGCAATCTGATGAGTTATGAAGCTCTTCTTCCACAGACGTCCAGTAGGGCACGGGGTCAGAACGTTCCTCTAAATCAGGGGTCGGCAACAAAAATAACAAGATAGAGCCATTTTTGTTCATCACGTGAACATTTATAGCAGTATCCAAATACTCTAAATGCGTGGTGTTGATTCTAAATGTGGAGGGGAAAAACCGGAGGACCCGGAGAAAAATCCACGTGACCACGGGGAAAGAGAGAGAGAGACATCGCAAACTCCAAATATACAGCACGCGTCAAGGGTCGGGATCGAACCCACGACCTCCTGTATACCAGGCGAGGTAGTTAACATCTCCTAGCCACTTATGTCGGAGATGAGCACAGAGAAAAGGCGCATGTAAATGTGCCTAGCCGATGAGAGCGTACCAAAAGCGTTTTTTGCGTGAGAGAGACCCATGAAGCGTGTTAGTGGAAGGCATGTGTTTTCACCACTGGCTTGTTCCCCCGTTATAACAGTTGGCAGAGGTATCTGGAACGCTGTCGTGGGCGAATGCGTAACGGGAAAACGCTTTGTACGCAGATGGCGATAGCGCGATTGTTGACAACGTGTCTCTCGCGATAGCACGCACTGCCTGTTTTAAATATATTTACAGTGTGTACAGTGAACGTAACATACGTTGGAAACACTAACAATCTGCTGTGGAGTGTTGGGCATTATCGACAAAATCCCGAATATCATCATGTTTTATTGCCCAAAGAAGCGTTACTTACCCAGGGTAATAGGATGAATGTGCCGCCTCTTTCCAAGCAGCTTCCTATTACGCAGAAAGCTGTTTATAATATAATGGTTATCATTATTATTACTTCCAGGTTACTCTGATTATCTGTGGATAAGCATGGATAATAGGATGAAGTTCGCATTTCGGTGGTGGGGACCACCTATGTTGAACTTATTTTGCACCGTATGTAGCCAACCGTGCTAATCAGAGGTGCAGCGTTGAGTCTATGTGTTAGTCTGTGGGCAGAATGCATCTATGTATGTTGAACTTCTTTCGCACCGTATGTGGCCAACCGTGGTAATCGGAGGTGCAGTGTTGAGTCTCTGGGCAGTGTTAGTCTATGGGCAGTATGTATCTTTGTATGTTGAACTTCTTTCGCACCGTACTAAGCCAGCCGCGCTAATCGGAGGTGGATAAGCGTGGGTAATAGAAACGTGCGGATAAGCATGGATAATAGCAAGAGATGGGATTATGGGGGATCGTCGTGTGGATAAATAGAAAGTCGTCCGATTGATTCGGGTGTCGTGGATGATAAGAGTGGATTATATGAAGAGTTTTACTGACGTTTTCAATCGTGTATTTCGTGTGTGCTTATTTGTGTACAAAGGTGGTCGGGCGTGATCTTGGCCACCCACCGCCTCGTGTACCGTGCAGGCCTTTATAGGTCCTCGCTAACAGTCTGTTCAGGCTATATAGGGGATCTTTGCCTTTTAGGGAGCGGTCGTGTGGCGGTAAACGTGTTGAGCTACGGACCCGGGCCAACACCGGTGACGATTATCTGAACCAATACTGGGCCTCCCCTGAGTCGACTCGGCCTCAAATGAGTCCCTGGTGCAGTGTGTAAACATACGCAATGGGGAGACAAAGACGGCCATGCGTGGTGCTGGCCACCCATCCCCTCGTCTGCCGTGACGACCTTCATAGGTTTTTTTGCGATCCACCTGCATGTGAAATGGTAGCCATCGCTCTGCATCTTAACACAGCAGCCGTAACGGAAGGAAGAAGCCTCGGGCCTTCGCCATGGGTGACGGGCCCTGATGGTCTTTTTTTGGGGCGACTCCCCCCTACCCCACACCTCCCCCCCCCCTCCCGACGAGAGCGTGAATGGCCCAAATACCGCGCAGCCCGCGGAGGGGAAAAAACTGAGCGCGGGGGTTTGTGGTGGCTGTGTTATATCCACGCACGTGAATGCAGCGGCTGCCTCTAGCCGGCAGGAGCGCGCGCGGGAACACCAAGGCCACCGCGCACGGCGCCACGACGGAGCCAGGCCACTTTCCACCGTCGTCGGTGAGTTTTTTTTACCCCCCCTCCCCCTTCGCTAAAAAATCTCTTCCGCCCCCCGCCCCGCTCCCGCCAATTCGCTTCTCTTGCTGCTGCCACCCGCCCGTTGCGTCCCTCCCCTCCGTGCCAATTACGCACGGAGGGGGTCGACGATTTCCAGCGATTCCCGACGATTTTTTTTTCACTCAAGAATTTAAATTTAGCACGTTGATTAAGTTTTGTGCAAATCATCAAGTTACTTGATTTGTTGTTGCCAGATATATATACACGGTGGAATGTTCGCCCGGTTGCTTTTTGAGGGGTTTGTGGCGAGAAGGCGCTGACCTCTACTACGAAGGTTGCCGCTCTTCCCCCCGCAAACTATTCTCATTTGAGCGCTGATTTTTTTTATTCTTTAAAACAAATCTCGCGGACGAAACAACCAATCCACGTTTGCGATTTACGATTTTTCAGTCGTTTGAAAAAAAATACAAATCCAGAACGACTTGATCGTAGTGCCAGCGGGTCGAAAAAAGCGTTCGCCAATCGTTGCCGATCGGAAAGGGACCAAGGAAGATTGCTCGTTGAAATGATTTCTTGATAATTATTATTTTTTCCTTCATATCGTGATGGAGAAAATGATGGAAGAGGTGTAATCTTTAATGTTGAATGAATTGGGGGGGGGGGGGTGGGGGGAGGAGGGTGGGAAGGAGGATTACGTGGTGAGCCAAGTATGGAGTCGAGCAGCGTCCCTCAACTATTAAACTAAAACTAAACTATTTTTATTTGGCCAGGTAAGGCCCACTGAGCTATGGTAGCTCTTTTTCAGAAGCCACCTGGCCACAAATGATGGCTCAACGAAGTGGCTTATAATCATGTGGCACTGTTATACTGGAGAAATTCGATGAGCTATGAAGCTCTTCTTCCAAAGATGTCCAGTAGGGGCACGGGGTCAGAACGTCACTCTTAATCAGGGGTCGGCAACCAAAATAGTAAGATAGAGCCATATTCTATGTTTCTTTCGGTAAAGTCACGTGGATAGAAAAAATAATGAAGTGAATAAAAATATCACGACGTTTCGATCGTAACACAAGCGGTCGTTCTTGATGACGACCGCTTGTATTGCGATCGAAACATCGTGATATTTTTATTAACTTTAATTTTATTATGTTTTTCTATCTATGTGACTTTACCAAAAGAACCATAGAATATGAATTCCTGCAGTCACGAAAGTTTTAAGTCAAGATAGAGCCACTTTTGTTCGAATTTGGTAAAAAAAACTATTTCAAGAGCCGCAATGCATGTGGTGAATACGAGACGGTGGTGGTCCTTGATAAATAATGGTTACGAAGCGGTTCCTTAATGAGCCGCATGCTGCTTTGGATCCGCAGGTTTCCGACCCCTGCCCATGATAAACAGGACTTCCATGGTAAACTGAACTCCCATGGTAAACTGAGCTCCCATGGTAAACTGGACTTCCATGGTAAACTGGACTCCCATGGTAATTTGGACTTACATTGTAAACTGGACTTTCATGGTAAACTGAACTTCCATGGTGAACTGGACTCCCATGGTGAACTGGAGTTCCATGGTAAACTGGACTCCCATGGTCAACTGGTCTCCCATGGTAAATTGGACTCCTTTGGTCAACTGGACTTCCACGGTGAACTGGACTCCCACGGTAAACTGGACTTCCATGGTCAGGGGTCTGCATCCAAAATAACAAGAGACATTTTTCCCTTCGACATTCAAGCGCCGCACTGCAGTTCCTTTTAAAGAGCCACCGCACGCGGCTCCCGAGCCGCAGGTCGTGCTGACGACCCTCCTGCTCTGGACAATCGCGTGTTTAGAGAGCCGAAGGAGGAAATGCACGCGAGGTGGCAGCAGTGTGCGGCGACTGAAGGTGTGGGGCGGGTGGGATAGAGTTTTTTGAGGCGCAGTTACCAGCGTCTGAATGAAACGGAGCGCAACTTCCTCAAGAGACCAGCAGGCAGCGCCGCCCAGCTCGACATGGAACTAACTATAACTAATAAACATTTTTTTTTTTTTACCAGGTAAGGCCCCACCGAGCTATATACCTTCAGAAAAAGTCTACTGTATTTATTTTAAATGTAATATCACCTCCACTCAAGGGAGTATCAAAACATTGCATACTAAAATAAGACAATAAAATAATGTTTAAGTAAAAACCATGAAAAAATAGTGAGTCTTGCACTCCCTATATATAGCTCTTTTTCAGAAGGGACCCGGCCATCACAAATAATTAATAGCTCAACGAAGTGGGCTTATTGTCACGTAGACATTTATAGGAGCCAAATACGCTAAAGGGCATGTTGATTCTAAATGTGGAGGGAAAAACTGGAGGACCCTGGAGAAAAATGCACACGATCACAGGGCGAGAGAGATATGCAAATTCCAAATATACAGCAGGCATCAGGGTCGGGATTGAGCAGACTACCTCCTGTATACCAGGCGAGGTGGTTAACATCTCCAAGCCACCGTGGCGCCAATGTCCTGTCATTCAGCAGTGGATAAGGGAATGGCTGCGAGATATACATACGGGAGGTGCAGTGTTGAGTCTATGGGCAGTGTTGAGTCTATGGGCAGTGTTGAGTCTATGGGTAGTGTTAGTCTATTCGTAGTGTTAATCTATCGGCAGTGTTAGTTCATGGGCAGTGCTAGTCTTTGGGCAGTGTAAGTCTATGGGTAGTGTTCGTCTATGGGCAGTGTGTATGTATGCTGAACTTCTTCGGCATCGTACGTAGGCAACCGTGCTAATCACAGGTGCTGGGGAAGGACAACAAACTAAACACAAAAAGCCATTTCTAAGAAATGAGAAATGATATCTAGATTTAAAAGTGCGTAGCTCCGGTGGCTTTCTAATATTGGAAGCATGCGATGCCGGTGACCGTCTTTGTTCAACGGGTTAGCCAAAAGCCGCCGCTGCGAGCATGACCGGAGTTCGCGTGATGATGGTTTACGCTCCTTGATGAGATCAGTGAGGTTACTGTGGTTCATTTCTGGCAAGTGCTTTTAGCATGTGTAATGAGTGCGAGCGTATGCATAGTGTACGCATTTTTCCCCCATTTCATTTCTATTAGCGTGGCTCAACGCACGAGATTGAAGTGCTGATTACATAGCGGGCGCAGCGGTTTTGGGGGGCGCTCTGCCATGACCTGGCGACCCCCGGCGGTCCGGTCGATTCCCGGACACGGCTAACATGAGTGGTTGAGTGATATCCGAACCAATCCTGGGTGGCACCGACCTTCGGCAATGCCCGCACTGACTAGCGTTGTGAAGTATGGTCAAACAAACCCCACCCCCCCACTTATGATTGACGCCTGGTATACAGGAGGTCGTGGGTTCGATCCCGACCCTGACGTTTGTTGTATATTTGAAGTTTGCGTGTCTCTCTCTCTGTCCTCGTGGTCGCAAGATGTGAACTACCTCCCCTGGTATACAGGAGGTCGTGGGTTCGATCCCGAACCTGACATCTGTTGTATATTTGGAGTTTGCGTGTCTCTTGCTCTCTCCCCCCGTGGTCGCATGGATTTTTATCCGGGTCCTTTCTTTTTTTCACCTCCGCATTTAGAATCGACATCACGTGTTTTATAGTGTTTGACTACTATGAATATCCACCCGATGACGATAAGCGACTTCGTTTCGCTATCATTCGTGATAGCCAGGTCGATTCTCAAACAACAGCTATACTTAGCTCGGCGGGCCTTACCTGGTAAAATAAAAAAAAATAGTTTTTCATCTTATTTTAGTTTTATATTGACAAAGGGCCATACACACACATCAGTAGAACAGTGTCACGTTAAAAACAAAACCGAATTGGCCAAACACAGATATTCAGTTTAACACGTAGGCTTTCACTTTACTTTTGGTGGAATTAGTATGCAATTAATGCCATCCAGCCATTGACTCGCTTTTTTGCGAGCGGTTTGTTGGCTGGTTTCATCCGTGCTTGGTTAATTGACGTTCGTTCAGTGCTCGGAGGGATACGTTGCTTGTTTTACGGGGTGAGTCGTCCGCAGTGGCGTAGTTTAAACTACACCAGCTCAGAGGGGGGTGGGGTGCAGCAATCGGTCAGGTGGCGTCCCCCCCAACCAATATCATAGCTGTCAACCCATACGGTTTACCCGTATTCTTGTACAGGGAAATTGAGTGTTCGGGTCCGTACAGCGTATAGCCGTTTCAATACGAGCAAAACATTTTCATCTGCCAGTTTGTGTTGCTCCCTTGTGATGGGACTTTGTAGGATGAATGTTGAGATTTATAAGGGGCACTTGGCGACCAATAAGGTCTGAATTGGTCTGTAATAAGGTAGGGCACTGATAAGGGGTTGACAGGTATAATATAAATTGTCGCACCTAGAGACTTGAATGTCGCGGCTCCTCTCGCCCTAATCACATCGTTGCGTGAATGTTTATGCTGTACTCTCTTGCAACCGTTGTTGAAAACAGACCTCGTGGTGGTTGTCGAGGGAAGGCAGGAGGTGCCCCCCAACCCGTAAACTATTTTTGTTTTATTTATTTTACCAGGTAAGGCCCACTGAGCTATGTAGCTCTTTTTCAGAAGCGAGCTAGCTCTCACAAACGATAGCTCAACGAAGTGGCTTATCATGTAGAAATGTATAGCAGCCGCCAAATACTCTCGAAACGCGTGATGTTGATTCGAAATGTGGAGGGGAAAACCGGAGGACCCGGAGAAAAATGCACGCGACCACGGGGAGAACGCGCAAACTCCAAATATAGCAGCTTTGGCCACCAGGTGGGGTGGGGTGGGGGGGGGGGTCCAGGGCACCGCCTACTCCCCCCACCGTTAGTTACGCGACTGGGTCTCCCGTTTGTAGGCAAGTGATACTTGGTAGCTTGATCGTCAGCACAGGGCAGCCCTGCAACTCTTAACTGGCAACCTGAGAACTGGTGTGTGATGTCCGCGTGCGTTGTGTTAGCGGTCGTCGCTGCGGCACGGCACTAGCAACTGCTGCACATAACGCAGGCCTCTGCTCTCTACCCTGC